TATGGCTTGGGTTTTGCGGTGGTTCGGTCCGTACCTTGGGCATACGATGCGCATGAGAGCACCACGAATGCAGCGATGAAGAGCGCGAGGCCGACGGAGAGAGCGGAGCGAGCCATGGCGATGTGAGGTGACTGACAAGTTTTGAATGGGAGAGACTGAGAACTGAGCGGTAAAAGTAGAATCGGAATTCGAGACCCTGATGGTTACAGCATGTTTAGCTGCGGGATAAAAAGCTCTCGGAAGAGCTCGATTGCATGGAGGGAGGCGTACCGCTGAGAGTGGTTGACTTTTTGCGTCACTCACGCTGCACTCGTGCCGCCGCGAAATGCGCGAGACTTATTTTTTTTTGCCCCACACAAGCTCTGGTATGACCGCTGAGGAAAACCAAGCAAGACGGTGTGATTTCTGGGGTTTCGGTACGATATAATGTGGTCTATTACGATAAAGTCAATAATTCCATATCAATAAAACGCGGTAAAGTGAAGATGACCAATGAAGGAGGGCCAGATGTAAATATGCCACCGCACTGTAACTACGTCTATACTCTCTGCAACCCACAGAGCCATCTCGAAATCCTTAAAATTAATCTTCAAAGTGAGACCAATCGTGGTTCCCAACGTTCAACGCGTCCTCTGGGGCCCTATTGGTTGCTGAAGAGGGGCAGCGAAATTTGAGAAAACTTCACAACAAGAAAGTCAAAGTGGATCCCAATTGTAACGCGTCAGCTGGATCCCTATTGGTTGCCGCAGAAGGCGGCATGAGTAGTGAAAACTTCACTACAAGAAACCTTGCTAAGTTTTCACGCAACAATGAATGCTTCTCACAAGCAAATATATGCCCTTGAGGTACAACACCTTCAGGTTATACGCAGTAATCATAGAATGTGCTAATTACATTTCCATATATGATAATGTTCATTGTACTCAATAGCATCTCGCTAGGTATCAGCATGCAATATACAATACTTGTTTCAATCTAAATCATTACAAAAGCACACTTGTATCCAGACAATTAATAGCAACACTGTACTTCAGCTATACACAAGACACTTCACTGCGGCAAAACCAACTTCGCAGATGTGTTGGCAGAGCTGCATATAACAACCCACTCTACTCCCTGCACTTGAGCTATCAAGCAACAACTACTCATCCAACAGGCCAAATTAATCCAAGTCAGGAAGGCACACCCACCTAACCTAAGTTTCGAAGGTTGAACCAGTTAATGCTTTCTTGGCCCACAGGTTTACAATGACGAGCAGACACTTCCACTGTTCCAGACCCTGTGTAATCCCTCCATCAATTTTCCCCATCTGTCCTCTTCACCCGCCGCTCCCTCATCTTCCCCACCACCCAACGATGCCCCTCTCCTCTCCTCCTCTCTCCTCCCCTCTTTCACCTACTCATACATCCCCTGTCGCTGTCTCGCCACCCGTCTGTCCGCCCGATGTGCCCGCACGAACAGCTCATGCGCTGCTGCTGCATTCCCCAGCGCCGCCTCCACCTCTGCTGCCTGCTGGATCAGAGCACTGACTAGCACCATCCCTGCATCACCTCCCTCCATTGCTCCGCCTCACCCGCCGCTCCCTCATCTTCCCCACCACCCACCGCGGCACCACCCCTCTCTCCTGCTCCTCTCTCCTCCCCTCCTTAGCCGACTCATACATTCCTCGTCGTTGTCTCGCCACCCTTCTATCCACCCGGTGTGCCCGCACAAAGAGCTCATGCGCTGGTGCTGCATTCCCCAGTGCCTCCTCCACCTCTGCTGCCTGCTGCAGCGCTGCTGCATTCCCCGGCAGGGCTGAGAGGGCTACTGATAGGAGGGTGCGGGCCTTGGGTAGGTCGCCCTGCTGCCGCTCCAAGCATGCGTATGCCTGAGACACAAGAAAGTGAAGCGGGAGAGAGGGGAAAAAGGGAGCATGAGAGTTGTGAGGGAGTGAGACGGTGATGCATGAAAGTGGAGGGAGATGTGGAGGGAGATGGAGCATGGGACAACTCAATGCCACACTACCCTCACACCACACTCACACGACCATGCAACAGGGTAGGCCTGCAAAATTCCAACAAAAGAGAAATAGGAAGGCTCTTCACATGGGGTCAGGTGAGAGTGGAGAGGGAGCATACCTGTAGAGTGGGGACTGAATGAGGAACGGCAGTGGTCAAACATGTCAAAGGTCCACTGGAGATCCCCGATTGATCCTAGGGAAGGGTTACAGGCACGTCGGCCTGGGGGGTTATGGGCGCACTCACCCGCTACACAAACAAGCCCTTTTATCCCAGTGGTTAGTGACTGGGATTCTGACATGGTATCAGAGCGAAGGTCTCGAGTTCGAATCCCGGTGTGTGCACCTCGGGCATCCCAGTGCGGGGGGGTGTCAAAGGTCCACTGGAGATCCCCGATTGATCCTAGGGAAGGGTTACAGGCACGTCGGCCTGGGGGGTTATGGGCGCACTCACTCGCTACACAAACAAGCCATTTTATCCCAGTGGTTAGTGGCTGGGATTCTGACAAAACAACCTCCTTGCCGCCTCAACATCCCCTTCTGCATGCTCCATCACACCCCACGCATGACTTTTGAGTTGACTCATAAGGGAACGTACTTGGAGAGTGGGGACTGAGTGAGGAGCAGCCTCAAGGCAGCGGCCAAACAGCCGCCTCGCGGCCTCAACGTCCCCTGATGCATGCTCCATCACACCCCACGCCTGCAGCGCCCGCACACACCCAGGCTACACCTCTAAACACTTCCGAAACAGCCCTCTGGCTGCCTCCCTGCTCTCGGGTGTGGCTAGGCGGGCCTCCTGGCACGCCCATGCGTGCAGAGTGGGCATGGACTTGGGGTTGGCTGATAGTGCCGAGCGAAAGAGGGCTCTCATGCGGCCGACTCGGCCGGATTTTGCTTCGAGAAGCGCCCATGCCTGAGTGGGGATGCGGGCAAATGCATGGAGCGGAGAACAGGGTGAGGTGAGCAAGTGCTGGGTTGTTTGAAAGGCAGACGCCACTTAGAAAGGCAGAGCGACAGGGAGCAGCCTGAAAATTTCCTTCACGTTTCTCAGCCATGGCCCAGGCGTGCAGGCCAATCACAAGGCTTCCAGTATCCTTCAGAGATTGCCCTGACTGTTTTGTTCGGCCCTGCTGCTCCTGCAGTTGCTGGTAGCCTGGTTCTCCCCGCGTTAGTATCACTATTGACCGTTGGAACAGCTGTCTGCTGGTAACCATGTCGCCCTCCTCCGCCTCCATCCCGGCCCACGCCTGCAGGCACCGCCCCAGGTGATTCCTCAAGTGCCCAGCCTCCTCTGCTGCTCCTCCACTCATTAGCTCCGCAGGCCCTCTCTCTGCCGAGTTCCTGGCGTCTGAATGCCTTGCGTCGCTGAAGTGGTTGGCAAAAGCATCCCGTGAATGCAAGGAGGCACTGCCAACCGCCAGAGCCGCCTCATAGCCCTGCACACTGCGGCGGTACCACGCCCTGGCGGCTGCTGTGTTGCCGGCTTTAATCTCTGCCAGAGCTATGTGCTCCTGGATTTGGGGATTTGTAGGGTGCTGAGACAACAGCTGCGGGAGACAAGGGGAAGAGAAGAAGGGAAGGGGAGACAAAGGGAGAGTGGAGAGCGTGAGAGGGCAGCAGAGGGGTTGCCTGCTTTCCTCTCTGCCAGCGCCATGTGCTCCTGGACCTGGGGGTTCTTCAATGAGACAGCAGCAGCGGGAGACAGAGAAGACAACGGGAGACAGGGGATGGAACAAGGGGGACGAGCGGGGCAGAGAGAGTGTGAGTGGACACAGAGAAAACAGGGTTGCCTGCCTTTCACCACCAAAAAGCAGAAAAAGAGCCACAGATGGCTGCATGCTCTGCGCAGCTTCCCTCGTCTGCTTTAACAACTCCTCACCTACTCCGTCCTCCTCCTCTCTCCCAACGACCACTCACCTCGTCCAACACGGCAATGCCGTTGCCATTCCGCTCTGCGTCCCCCCATTCAGGTGCCGCCTCACAGACTTCAGCGCGCCCGCCACCTCCGCTCCACCGCCCCTCCCCTCCGCTTCCGCACCCCTTTCTGCTCCCTCCGCCCTTTGTTGGATTGGAGCTTCTGTGTCGAATGTTGCTGCTCGTTTGATTGCCGACGGCGGACGCGCTAAGCTCAGTCTCACTACTCGCATTTGGGGCGTTCCCCGCCACATCGCCCCCGTTTGCTCCCCCTCCCCCCCCCTTCCGCCTCTTGAACCGCGTCGGCGGTTCGCGACGGCGCGAATTCGGGCAACGGGGTGCGCGGAGCGGCGGAAGCGGGCGCTGGCGCGGGCGTGGGAGCGAGAGCGGGAGGGGAAGCGGAAGGCAAGTCGGGAACCAGCAGCGCGATCTGGGATAAGGGATGGCAGAGCGGAGAGGACGAGAAGGAGGAGGAAGAAGGGGAGGAGGGTGTGGAGGGGGCGGAGAAGAAAACGTCTTCCGTTTCAATCACATCAGTTGCAGTCACATCGCTCGACACTTTGGCGTGGCTGTGGGAATCTAGGTGGTACGGGAGTGCTCCGCATCGTACTTTCAGGTGTAGGCATGAATACAGGCCAAACCATACGGATAAACGGCATGAATACATACATATCAGATACAAATATAACCACTGTGGCATACATCCAAGTACTGAATATCGAGGTGTTCCGTCTCCTAAGCACACACCCACCACATGGGCTAAACACAAGCACCCACAAGAAAACACTGGCAAAGAACCGAAGAATCATCTGGAAGTCGCGGGGAGCTACTACGGAATCACCATCCTCCCCGAGCCAATCTGCCCCAAGCTACGACCCTGAGAGGGGCAAGGGAAGGGAGCAAAAGAAATCCCACAGGATGTGCACACACGTTGAGGTGGTCTACCTCTACCCTGCACTGGAGTAAACATCTGGCATACGACGGGCCTTCATGTGAGAGCGATAAACCAGATCCCAGGTATGTGAGAGTGGCGGGAAGCAAGGGAAGAGATGCACGTGACGGCCCATCAACCATGCCTGTGACATACCAATGTTGTCGGGCGAAGGCAGGTCCGACGCAGCGGCGCCAGGGAGTCAAGGCATTTCCTGACGGCGGCCGTATTGCCCTGGGAGTTGCAGATTTTCGTTTTTCGAAGGAGCACCAACCGGCATGACGTAGAAGTACCTGGTGTGGTCGTAGGGGTCGACAAGTGAGGAAGCAGGCAGAATAGGAGGTTTGAGGAGCACGGGTTGTGAGTATTTATCGGCCAGAAGAAAAGCGGCTTCAAAGCGCGTAGTGTCTTCATTGCTGCGGAATGAAGCCCGCCGCTTCGCAATCTCAGACGGCACGGCATGGAGCGATCCGCAAGGAAAAGCAAAGGCATTTGGAGAACTCTGGAAATGCACATAGGGGGACCAGCAGAGAACCTGATCGTTCATAGAATGGCATTCTATGTTTGGCTTGTCCGTACAAGTAGACCGGCTCCCCGATCATTTATTCTATGATGATGGCATCATCGTACCATCGTCGATTGCCCTCCAAAGGAGCCTGCGGTGGTGCTGCGGCTCGAGATCTCCGTTGGGCTGGCCGGCACTCGCCGAGGTTTCTGCTGTGACGCCGCCTGCCGCCGCGGCGCTCGTTGCTGGTAGGGGCAGGTTAAGGGGAGTGAGACGAGTGAGGGGCAGAGAGAAGGCATGGGAAGAGTGAGATGGGGATGTGTGGGCAGATTGGAGGTCGTGTGCCCCGGCAGGAGGGAGTGAGCGGCGGATAGGGGATTGGCGGGGGATTAAGGGATCAAGGGGAGCCGTGAAAAGAAAACAATGGCGCGGTCGGTGCAGGGGGGAAGAGCGGAGTCAGGCAGAGCGAAGCAAGTGCCGCGAGTCAGGCAGAGTGAAGCAAGTGCCGCGATTCAGGCAGAGTGAAGCAAGTGCCGCGATTCAGGCAGAGTGAAGCAAGTGCCGCGATTCAGGCAGAGTGAAGCAAGTGCCGCGATTCAGGCAGAGTGAAGCAAGTGCCGCGATTCAGGCAGAGTGAAGCAAGTGCCGCGATTCAGGCAGAGTGAAGCAAGTGCCGCGATTCAGGCAGAGTGAAGCAAGTGCCGCGATTCAGGCAGAGTGAAGCAAGTGCCGCGATTCAGGCAGAGTGAAGCAAGTGCCGCGATTCAGGCAGAGTGAAGCAAGTGCCGCGATTCAGGCAGAGTGAAGCAAGTGCCGCGATTCAGGCAGAGTGAAGCAAGTGCCGCGATTCAGGCAGAGTGAAGCAAGTGCCGCGATTCAGGCAGAGTGAAGCAAGTGCCGCGATTCAGGCAGAGTGAAGCAAGTGCCGCGATTCAGGCAGAGTGAAGCAAGTGCCGCGATTCAGGCAGAGTGAAGCAAGTGCCGCGATTCAGGCAGAGTGAAGCAAGTGCCGCGATTCAGGCAGAGTGAAGCAAGTGCCGCGATTCAGGCAGAGTGAAGCAACCGCGAGAAACTAAACACGAGAGCGGAGCCAACGATGTGTATTTTCAGTCAAGAGCCAGCGCTCTTGAGCTGCCACAGGCTGCATACGGAAAATACGAGTGATGTGGAAATGGCGTTGAACTAGTAAGTGTGGTGTGCAGGTGCGCGTGGGGCTGCATCGGAGGCGAGAGAGAGGAGGGAGAAATGCAACACGAGTGAGGGCGAAATGACAGGGCCTCGGCTTAGGTTTCGCGATGGGACGAGAGTATACGGGCCGTACCTTGGGCGAAAGAGAGCGCCAGAATTGCAGCGAGGAAGATCGCGAGGCCGACGGAGAGGATGGCGCGAGCCATGATAGCGTGATGGGATAGCTGGGAGAGATTGAGAACTGAGATTATAAGATATGAATCGAGACTGATGTTTAGAGCTTGTTTTGCGACAAGATTTTATAGACGAGATGAGTCGATTTCGATGGACGTAAAGAAACGAGAGCGCGACATCGAGGGACGTAAGTTTCTGCCTCTGCCGTGAAATGCGCGAGAGTACTCGCAAAACGACTCTGGTAACGCTGCTGAATGTGAATTACGCAATTTCGGCTCTCCCTGCACGAGGAGATCTGGCTGCGCCGCCCACCTGGCTTTACTGGGTCGTTTCCTCCTGGTACCCAGTGGAGCCTCCACCGGCCAGTCTACGGTCTCCGCCAGGCGCCACGTGAGTGGCACGACACACTGAGGACTACACTTGCGGCTCTTGGGTTCGCGCCGTCTACTGCTGACCCGTCGCTGTTTCTGCGCACAGACACGTCGCTGCCGCCGTTCTACATTCTCGTGTACGTCGACGACTTGGTCTTTGCTACTGCTGACACTGAGGCACTCGCTCGTGTGAAGTCGGAGCTGCAGAAGAGACACACCTGCACTGACCTGGGTGAACTGCGTAGCTACCTTGGCTTGCAGATCACCCGGGACAGAGCTCGCCGCACCATCACCCTGACTCAGTCACACATGGTGCAGCAGGTCCTTCAGCGCTTCGGCTTCCAGTTCTCCTCACCACAGGCCACACCTCTGGCTACCAGCCACTCGCTCTCAGCTCCACCTTCGGACGAGTCCATAGAGCCGAGTGGCCCGTACCCAGAGCTTGTAGGCTGCCTCATGTACCTGATGACTTGCACGCGACCTGACCTCGCGTACCCACTTAGCATCCTTGCTCGCTACGTTGCGCCTGGGAGACACAGGCGAGAGCACTGGGAGGCTGCTAAGAGGGTGCTGCGTTACTTGTGCAGTACATCAGGCATGGGGCTGGTGCTTGGAGGACGCGACAGAGTTGTCCTCACTGGTCACTCGGACGCTTCTTGGGTGGACGACCTGGCTACGCAGCGGTCGTCACAGGGTTACACCTTCAGCCTTGGCTCTGGTTCTGTCTCGTGGCGGTCCACCCGCTCTTCTTCTGTTCTCGGCTCTAGTTGTGAGGCTGAGATCTACGCCACAGCCATGGCTGCACAGGAGTTACGCTGGCTCACCTACCTGCTGACTGACTTGGGAGAGCGGCCTAGTTCTCCTCCAGTTCTGTACGGTGACAACAAGGCGGCTCTTGCCTTGTGTCAGGAGCACAGACTGGAGCACAGGACGAAGCACATTGCTCTTCGCTACTTTCTTGCTCGAGAGCTTCAGCAGCGCGGTCAGCTTCGGCTTGTGTACGTGGACTCGAAGGCCAACACTGCTGATATCTTCACCAAGGCGCTCCCGCCTAGTGATCATCAGCGGCACTGTACTTCTTTAGGCCTTGTGTCCACGTTTCCTCACTTGCTCACTGCTTGACATTCTTTGTACTGTACTTTATATTTGTCTTGCTGCTTGTCCTGTTCTATATCTAGCACTACATGTGAACTGGCCTTGTGGCCTTTGTTTGTGCTCGGAGTGTGGTGACGTTGTGATCCACCCTGGGCTTGTTTTTGCTTTGCTGGACTGGTCTTGTGACCCTTTGCTCTCCCCCACTTTGCCTATGGGGGTGTGTTAAGTTGTAATGTGTTATTTATATGTAGGTAGGCTGTAGTGGGGTAGCCAATACAGGGTACAAACCCAACTAGGGTTAGCTACTTGTACCCAACTGTTTCTTTCAATGCACCATTCTTGCCTAGTTCTGTTAACACACAAAGGGTGAGGTAGATATCTGGCTTGTGACGCGCCTTCAGAGTGGCAAACCAGACCACATGGCACTTGCAAATGAGAATAGAAGCAAGTAAAAATGAAAATACGAAGCGAACACCTGTTACAACCAGCTGGCCTCCGCAATGCTTTATATATCCTGCTTACAGGCCGGCCCCCCACTTGTCTATGATGCATTTCCAAGGCGGCTCAGAAGTGTCTTACCCGCACTGGCTTGCCTCCTCACTGCTGAATCTGCGCCAGCAGGTCTTCCTTGCACTTGTCCATGCTCTTCTGTGTTCTCACGAGGGAGAGCGAGTTGCAGTCCTCCACTTTGCGCTTGAACACCAGACTGCATGGCGTGCCTGTTCATGTGACGGCACCGCGGGAGGCAACGGACAGGTGAGCGGATCTGAATGCACATATGGTACCACCGTAGTAGTATGCCTGAGGCGAATCCGCATGAAAAGGCTCAGATTTTCTTGAAAACGTGCCTCGCAATTGCCAGATATACCAAGAACGAGAACGGGAGAGGGGCGCTCTGGTCATTCGTGGAATCTCTGGAACCGTGCATATCGATACTACAAAATCAAATCGGTCATCGTACCGTCATCTGCCTTGCGCATTCCAGCCAGGAGTTTGTTCTCATCATTTGCAATCACTCTGACGCCATGGGCGCACGAGATGCAGGAGAGAGCCAGAACTGCAGCGAGGAAGAGCGCGAGGCCGACGGGGAGAATGGTGCGAGCCATGGCGATGCTATATATGCTGGAAGCGCTTGAAGACTGGGATATAGCGGCGGCTGCTCAAGTGCTAGTACATCGCGGAAAAGGAAAATGTCGAAATCGGGGGTCCGAAGGTTTTTCTGCGAAAAACCTGCGACTTAGTTGCGGGTAGTGTCCAAAAAGCAACGCACACAAAACGAAACTTTCTGCACACCAATTGCCGACGCGAACACCAAAGCAAAACCGTCACCCCAACGTTGCTTTTGCGTCAACATTGTCGCGTCACTCGGTGGCTCGTGGTCAAGAGAGATTACAAGCGGTTGCGGAGTGGAAAATTTTCAGCGACATGTAACTTCAAAATTAACGAAACAAAACGAACTCGGGAACGTCTCACGAACACCAGCGAGGTTGAAGATTGGTTACATGGTTTTCGCTTAGTGATGAAATGTGAACCCCAACCACCCAACCCAAGTGACACACGCTAGCTGGCTGCTTCAGAGGTGTGTTGTGTGAGGCATAAAATCTTTTTTGAGCCAATCAGTGTTGATCCTGTAAATATTGATCAATCCTCTCCTGCCGTGACGTACACGTCAGCATTCAACCAATTTAACCAAACATCCCGATTCACTTCTTACCTGATTCCCTTGTATCACTCGCGTGCTGGTATCCACAACCGACCTCATATTCCCCCTATCCCCTTCATTTTTTTCCTTCAATGTCACCAGATTTGCACTTCCCATTCCTTAGGCCTGCAAGGGAGTTTCTTTTCCGAACATCCAGACTAATATGCAACGTATGTACCGTCTACTTCTCCCCTTCCTCCCGCGTTGGATGTGCGCGCAGATTTTTCTAGACGCTGATATCATTTTCTCAGAAAGCGACGCGGCGCCAGCTGTCAGACAGCCTCCGTAAATGCTTACATCTGGGGAAAGGAAGTGATAGCTTCGATGATTCTCTGCCGTGTCGCTTAGTCGGAATGTGTAAGTATGTAAATGGATTGTCAGAGGTCCACTGGTGATCCCCGATTGATCCTAGGGAAGGGTTACAGGCACGGCGGCCTGGGGGTTATGGGCGCACTCACCCGCTACACAAACAAGCCCTTTTATCCCAGTGGTTAGTGACTGGGATTCTGACATGGTATCAGAGCGAAGGTCTCGGGTTCGAATCCCGGTGTGTGCACCTCGGGCATCCCAGTGCGGGGGGGTGTCAGAGGTCCACTGGTGATCCCCGATTGATCCTAGGGAAGGGTTACAGGCACGGCGGCCTGGGGGGTTATGGGCGCACTCACCCGCTACACAAACAAGCCCTTTTATCCCAGTGGTTAGTGACTGGGATTCT